TATTCCAAGTTATCGGAACTTAATTATCATAAATAAGTATTGATATCCTATTTTATGTGTTTAAATTATGATTCAAATTTTTATTAATTTCATAATTTCCGAAATTAAAGGGATTTTATGATTCCTTAACGAACTATAGAAATAATTTGTAACATCGTCTTACTGCGCTTTCGAAAGTACGCTTTGATTAAAGATTTTTAAGATATTAATAATCCTCCCCAAAATGAAAGAAACATTTCAATTTGAAAAGGTTATTCTTCCATCTAGTATATCTAGTTCTTCACTATCATATCTTCTATCTAATACTTCCCAAGACGAAGAGAATCAAAACTGTATAAATCATTGCAGATGAACAAGGGATCTATCGAATATTCTCAATCGATTCTCAACTTAACATATTATACAGTTATACAAGCATTAAATAACCAGACTGACGCTGCTACAGAAGGAGTAAGTAACGACAAACAGCTAGTTAGCTTCTCTTACAAATCTCGCCTCTGTCCAGACAGCCGGAGTCATCGTTCGCATTACAGTTAGCTTTTATTAATGATAGGTGTAACGATAGAGTAATGGTCTTCAAACTTTTTCAACTCATGGAACTTATACAGCTCAAATGTGTTTTCGGGGAATCCCATTCCATTAACAAACTTAAAAGAATGTATTTTTACATCATATTTAAAGAGAGTAGATCAACATGTTATAGATACTTTATGTAAAGACAATTTAAAAAAAAAAACAAAAGTATTGTATTTGCTTAAAAATTAACGTAATTTTAATATAATTTACTCACTTGTAATATTAGTTCAAGTATAACCAACCCATGCATTATTTCAGTAAATTTAAGAATATATATGCTCACACTTTTTTTTTCTTTACTCAAACTCTTGAAGTCTATGTCTTTTGAAATTATCTGCAGTCACATTTCATGTGCTCTACGTTTAGTTTATTATTATATTTTTTTAAGCCACTCACGTTGAGAAATATTTTTCACTTAAATACATTATTCTTAATGGCATGAAATTTTTTATAGCTGTATGAGAAATACTATAAGTTTTTAACCTAAAATTTAGAAGCTTAAATTTAGATTTTAACGTCGAATCCATTGATATGCCGATAAGTTGCTTACTCTCCTTCTTTGTTGGAGTTTTTTCCCCAAATGGAAAAACAGATGCATTTTCCATTAGAAAAATATTTGATTTCGCAAAATATTGTTCTAAGGAGTATTAAATTACTTCGAGAAACCCGGGATACTAAACAATAGAATATTTACAATCTAGTAAGTATTACATATAAATAAAAAACATTTGAATAACTTCATGGAAAAACTTCATTTAAACTTCACAGAGAAAGTGAATTCCTTTTGCATACACATTTGTAATTTTCTTTCCGCTTTTTTATTGTGAATTGTGGAACCTCCGGGTATGCCTCGTGGAGCCCCGGAGTTCCGTGGAACAAAGTTTCAAGTCCACTACAATAGAGCAACGAATTGTTAGGAAATTTCACATGAAACTTGGAAGAACCACTACTGAAAAATAATTTATTCACGTGCACGTGTTTTTGAATGTTTTCAGTGTTTTCAAAATGGCCGAAAAGATGTAGCAGATGATTTACTCCTGTGTCGCCTTTCCACGTCAAAAGTGGATGATAACATCAATAAATTAAAAGTAAAAAAAAAAAACTTTTTAAAAAACAAGCTTTTATTTAAATGCTCTAAAAAGAATAAAAGAAACTTTTCTTTTGAAGCTTTTTTTTTGCTATCATCTTATAAAGTCGTTACACAATTTATGATATAGAAGCTTGCCGTGAGATTCCAAGTACTCATATTTACTTAGTTTGAAAATTTTTAAAATTAAAATCAATCAGATAAAGTTACTTAATTTGCTTGTTTATCTACACAGATAAATCTCGCGACAAGCTTTTATATCATAAATTGTGTAACGACTTTATAAGATGATAGCAAAAAAATTTTAAAAGAAAAGTTTATTTTACTCCTTTTAGAGCATTTAAATAAAAGCTAGTTTCTTAAAAAGTTTTTTTTTTTACTTTTAATTTATTTTTTTACTTTTTAGTTATAGCTGGACAGAGGTTTCTCAGTCTGTTAATCTCATTCAACGTATCATTGTTGCAAGGTCGTTTGCCGGATAATTTTGAACAGTCCAGCTAAGGGGTACTCAAACTTTTTCTCACCAGGTCACATATATATGATAAGTATTTCACTCGGGCCGCAACAAGAGAATAATAGGAAGGGGGGATAAACACTGTTATACCGAAACAACATTGGAAAAAAAAAATTAATTAAAATATTAAAACTTTTTTTTTTTTTTTTTTTTGCTTTTAATATAACACTATATTAAAACCGAAAAATACAAATTTTTTCTTTAAATCCGTAATTTTTTTCAATTTTCATGCAGAATTTGGATAATAATATTTACAAACGAAAAAATATTTTCGTGTGTTTATATTTAAAAATGAAGAAGTTTTTAAACGTTTTATTAAAAATTTAAGTAATTTTTGTAAAATCGTAAAAAAAAAATAAAATTTTTAGTTATTTTATTTTTAAAATGACTGATTCTAAAAGAAAAAGCCTTAACTTTCTTAGTGCTGAAGATAGATTCAATAACAGAAAAAAAAAAAAAAATCCTACGAAACGATTTTGAAATCATTTTCATAAAAACGCATCGATTTTGACTCATTTTAGAAAAAATTGTAAATAATAGAAAATATTATTTTTTTAAAAAAAATTATACCGTATCGTAGCGAAATAAATAATTTAGTAATTAGGTAATTATTTTTTGTCGCAGTTTGATAGAAAGAATAAGATGGTTTTGAAAAAAGGACGAAAAATTGGAACTTCTTTAAGCTTAATCCGATAAGCTGCTCGGCAGAATAAAATACTAACAGGGGTAAAAGGTTTTCAATAAATATCTTTTTAACCAATTGTGATAGCGGAAAATAAATCATCAAAACAGGCATTGTCATCCAAAATAAACGTGTATACAAAATGTCAAATCAATCGGTTGAAGCCATCGCCTTAAAAATTGAGTTGCAAAATTCCACCTGAAAAAATGAATTTAATTAATATCTACACCATTAAAATTCGAAGTTAAACAGACGTATGAGACTATACGGCTGGGTGTATCTCCTCACGAACCACACGACGCAGAAACTCGCCGTAGGTACCAAAATATCGCGAAGGATCCGAGGAATTACATTTGACCATTTATATCACGAAAGTGCAATTAGCTAAAGAAGTATTAATTAAAACTCTTAAAACGCATAATTATTGCCATTTTCCCCGCCAAGTGGTGAAGTTCCAATTTTCCGAACTTTTTTTTTATCCCAGATGTTTTTGAAACACTATCTAATTTTTTTTTTATCAGACTCAGACAAAAAATAATTACAGAATCGGAAAGATCCTTTACTTCGCCACGATACGGTAAAATTTATTTTACAAAATAATGATATTTTCTAAAATCAGTCAAAATTGATACGTTTTTATGAAAATGACTTCTAAATCGTTCCGATTGAATCTTCTTTCATGTAAATGAAATGATATTCTACACTAATAAATTCATGCTTTCCTCTTTTAGAACTAGTTATTTAAAAATAAAGTGTTAAAAACTTTTTTTTTTTTATGATTTTTCAAAAAAAACTCAAAATTTTATTTCAATTCTTAATAATTTCTTTTTTTAAAAAATAATATCATGAAAAACTTTTTCCGGATGTAGAACAATATTATCTGTAATCTGTACAAAGATTGAAAAAATTGCTTAAGAATTACGGCTTAAAAAATTTTTGCTTTTCGTTTTCTCCCTTTTGGGGAGAAATATTTAAGTATTATTTTTGTTACATTTTTTGTTAAAAAATTACCGTTGTTTGCAATCTATATATGAAGTTTGAAGGCATTAACTTAAAAATGTTGTCCGAAAAAAAAATTTAAAACAAATAACGCAATGCGAAATTGTCAATATGTCTTCCTTTTATTTCAGCGGTCTTTTTTTTTTCTTTTTTTCAGAAGATTTCGTGGATCGGTCGCTTAGAGCGCTAGATTAGTAACTTTCGTACCCGGGCTCAAAACAGCATCAATGCTTAGTTTTAACGATTTTTTATAAAAAATAATCAAAGTTTTTTCGTGCAATTAATAACTTCACCAGAAATTTTGTAATTGGAAAGCTAATTTATTTCGTCACAATACAGTATTTTTTTTTTTTTACAAAAAAAGATACTTTACATATTTTATGATTTTTCTAAATTGAATCAATATCGATGCGTTTACATAAAAATGATTTTTAAAAACTCATTTTCAAAACTTATTTTGCGAATTTTTTTTGTGCAATAATTTATTACTTTTGTGCCACTAGATAGCTGCACGTGCCAAGCTGCTTAAGAATCGATGAATGCTCACTTACTCGTGAGCTCTGATAGCGAGAGAAGGGGAATTTCCATGACAATATGTTATGCATTTAAAAATGTCCGTGCAACGCCGGGGAGGGGGGGGGGATAATTCTGTCTGACAAAGAAAAGAAGCGAAAAAATTTCAGAACAGGAAATTCTAAGTTATACACTCGGTAAAAGCCCGTGCAACGCCAGGCTAAGCAGAGGATGGGGAGGGGGTGGAAGTCATTTTGAAAAGAACTATTAGAAGTGTTGATTTTATGATGGAAAGGGAAAATTTATAAAAGTAGAAAAGGCCAGAGGAACGCCGGTACATGCAGCTAGTCTTTTTAACTAAATGCCATATCGGAATATAAATGGTCAAAACATACATTCCCATCCAAACTAAAAACGTGTATACAAAATTTCATCTCAATCGGTTGAAGATTTTAGCTTCAAAATTGTGTTGCAAGAATAAACCCGAACATTTTGCATTGCAAGTTAAATAAAGACTTGTGTAAAATATAACATACTTTGTACGAATATAGAGTGAAAGTATTGTAAAATATCTCGCGTTGTACAAATCAAATGAATTTCAATAATGTTTTACTCTAAAAAACAATAAATGGAGGCGCGGGGTATCGACCCCGTACCTCTCGCATGCTAAACGAGCGCTCTATCATCTGAGCTATGCTCCCGGTCGACACCTGTGTTCTTGTAAACATGCTCGCCTTAACACCCGAACAAGATCATTACAATAACTAGGTCGATATCGGCATATCAATCGTCAAATATCCAAACTAAACGTGTATACAAAATTTCAGCTCAATCGGTTGAAGACATCAGCTCTCTTCAAAATTGAGTTGCAAGATTCCACCAGAGCTAATTACTTTAATTAATATCTTTTAAACTAATTGCGGTATCGGAATATAAAGTCGAAACATGCATTGTCATCCAAACTAAACGTGTATACAAAATTTCAGCTCAATCGGTTGAAGACATCAGCTTCAAAATTGAGTTGCAAGATTCCACCCGAACATTTTACATTGCAAGTTAAATAAAAGCTTGTGTAAAAAAATCGGTGATCTGGATTGATTTGACCATTGGTTATGAACTCGTGTAATTGCTGAGACTGTAGGAATTGATAAAGTGTATGTACGGCAAATTTTATGTAACAATTTTGGCATACCAAAAATGTGAGCCAAAATGGTGTCTATAATGCTCACGTTTGAACAACAAGAAGCTCGCAAAAATGTTTGCTAGGACACTTTGAATGCCATTGAAAATTATCCAAAAGTATTGAAGAGGATAAAATCGTTTGACAAATCGTGGTATTTTACTTATGATCCTGAAACGAAGCGGAAATATATTCCCTGAAAGAGTTCATCCACCGAGAGCCAAAAAAGCTTTAATGAGCAAATCGTAATTCAAAGCAAAGATGATCGTTTACTTCCAATATTCATGGGATTGTGAACCTCCACTTGGTTCCTGAAAGTCAAACTATTAATCAACCTTCACTTTCTTACTGAGCTCCATGAAAGAACATGGAAGAAAATTGAGGAAGGACGTCATAGGTTCTCCACCAAGACAATGCACCGGTGCATTGTTTGTCAAGAGGCTAAATACGGCATCCTAGTGTTAGATTATCCATTTTATCTAGCACTTCTATCTGTTTCTTAAGGGGAAATCTGCATTAAAAGGAACAAAATTTGAATCCGTTGAAGATGTGAAAGAGAAAGCGTCCTATAGGAGCTGACACATGACTTCCAGCACGGTTTCAAACAAAGGAAGATTCACATGGAGCGTTGTAGGGGTAGGTGCATATTAAAAGTGGTAAAAAGTAAATATGTATGAACATTTTATAGCATCCGTCTCGTTATTTAATAGCCGAGCCTTGTATGTGTATACAAATGAAGCAGAAATATTCCTTTAAAAAGTAACGACTCTAGAAATAATAAATAAATATCAAAGTTATTTCATACTGAAACCGTTTGAGTAACTCAACTTGGAATATGTGAACTTGTTTCTGTGTTCTATGTATCATACATCTGCCCTTTGATTACTTTTCAGAATATATTTAACAGTTGAAACAGCATGAAATCTAGAAGTGCAAGTTAACAAGAAAAATAAAAAATATTAGAAAATTTAAGTATTTCGTTTTTATTTTAAAGGATTTTTAATTTACTTTTTGTATTCTGAATTTTTTTAAGACTTAAAGTAAAATAAAGTTGCAAGTTACGCGTACCTAAAGTTTAAAAAGTTATATTCAGAGAAAAAAAAATTCCAGCCATTTCATTTGAGTTACACTTGAAATATCTGGGGGTACTAGGTAATTTGTTCGTCAGTATACAATTTCAATATTTTTATAAGGTCGCATTCGTTATCTATTAATGCCACACATGATGAAGATGACAAATGTCTCGCAAATTGTTAAGTCTCGCACTGAATTCGTAACTCTTCAATTTATATTTCCACATATTATATAATGATAATGTAAATAGAAAAATTCTATGATGAAATTCAAAAATAACAAAAATTTGTAGACATTTTTTTCTTTATCTCAAGTAAAAAGTACCCGAAAGTGAGGCAAGAAGGCTTAATGTTTGTATCTCATACATGCATTTTAAAATGTACCTCAGTAGAATTAATCTGTTTTTCAAATTTTGCAATGTTATCTATGCAACTATCTTATCCTTTTCGTTCGAAATTAATTCGACCTGCAAGTCAAATTGCTTAAAATATCAACCTAATTCTTTTCAGTAAAGCTATATTCGCATTATTTTGTAACCAATTGATTTTATTTAGTAATTTTTTTTTCTCATTTTATAGCCTCGTTGTTTTTCTTAAGTTACTTCACTGTCTTGGTTTTGTTACTTAATTGCTCAATATTGCAATTTCCTTTGTTTCAAAACTTTTTTTATTTATCCTTTATTTTATTCGTCTTATTTTGTTTGTCTCTTGTAAGCCCTGTATGATCCCTGTGTGCATGGAAACTATTTTATCTTCAATTTAAAAAATAAGACAGAGGATGCATTGATATTAGCAATTACATTATTTATTTGATACCTTATGTCTAAATCTTGTTATGGGAAGTATAGCAAACTTAAATGATGTATGAATAATTATAAAAATGAATAATTGGGAAAAAATAATAACTGTATGAATGAAAACAGAAAAATTAAGCTAAGTAATTCAGTTCCATTTAGTTCCTTAAAAATTATCTGTATAAGTGATTAGTGATGAGCGATTAAGATGTAATTGGGCAATCATTTACATCACCTATAAAAAGAATTGAATGTTAACGCAATAGAGTTAGCCAAAATTTTAATTCAAATTTTGTTCCAGAATTATTACCATATAAAAACAAACAATTAGCGACAGTAACATAATACAGAATACAATACAAATTAGAATCGATTGTTTTGTTTTTAGCAGTCTGCTTTCAAAAATAATACTTTGAGATTTACTTTTAGTGCTTTAAAACGATTTAGATACTATGTGTTGAGAGGGTCATCACAGCTACTTTTGTTTTATTCATTCATATCCGCATATTTAATAATTGTCGGGATAACGTTGATTTCAACAGCTATACATAGAGTATGCAAAAGTTAAGGAACAAACACATTTTCGTGCGTTTTTCAAAAGCTACTGAACGAATTCAGGAGAAATTTAACATGAAGATACACTTGAAAGTATTAATAAAATGTGATAAAAATTAATGATACTCACTCGTGATCATAATTTATGCTCATGAACGCATGATAGTCCAAAACTGATGCAGCCTTGGTTGTGTAGAAACAATGTCTTTTAATATATCAAACAAAATACCCCTCCCCCAATGATATATTTAAACACAAACAAGAACCAACTTGACGTTTTGTGAATATTTTCTAAATTCAGAAGAACAGAATTACTTAAATTTAATAAAATTTCTCAAAAAAAAAACATTTATTGTTTATCAGTATTATTTTCAAAAATACATTTGCTAAAACAAAAAGAAAACCTGTTTTAAAGATTATTTGTATATAATACAAAGGTTATACGATTAATTACGATTAATATTACGGTTTAATTGAAAAATTTCATCAATTCTCTCAACAATTGAGCATTTTCCTACTTAAATACAGAAGGATGCAAAAAAGGGGGAAATGAAAGCTTGTTATTTATAAGGTTTCAATAACAGAGTTCACCCTCCCCTAGAAAGATCTATTATCAATGTTCAGACAACAGCTCTAAAAATAAACGAGGAACCAATCGGTTGATCACGAAAAGGAAATAAATCTAACGATAAGAGAAAAAGAGGCCCAGTGGGGAAAAAATAGAGTCATTGTCTCCCATGAAGATGAATCTTCCCTACAGAATGGATTTTTGTATTTGCCATCTTCATACATCACTGCTTAGCAATAATTGCCTTTTTGTAGTCTTTTAATACAACTGTCAAAAACCAAAGAACACTTACTTGTTTTTAAAATACTAACAAGTCATCTTGTAATGCTTTGAACACTTGAGGAAACTAAATGTTTTGCAACAATTCAGGATTCTTCACATGTTCGTTATCAGTAAAGATTAATAAACGATGGATCAGATTGGAGGTACTCAGATCATTTTCTCTCTGGTTTATCAACTCTAAGCAGTATCAATTAAAGATTATTTACTACGAAAAATTTGGAGAAGGGAAATCTATGAAATACCCTTCGATGTGAGTACTCTTGAAGTGACTATTAAACTAATCCATTAGTATATAACAGCGAACCTTTAAACTCTTTCATGAGGTAGAGAATAATTCTGGCTTGGGATTAGTGGGAAATACTAACAACTCAAAACTATTTACTAGGAAAAATACACTTTGACTAAATGTTTTAGTTATATGTGTAATTCAAATTAAAGCAGCATTAGTGGGATTTCTGCTGTTGCAGATTAAATTTCTATTAGGATTGTAAGACGTTACTTTGAGCAGAATGAGAGGAGTCCTCTGCCAAAGTGCCAGTCTTTGATGTTATTCGTCTCTAAAAATAATGACTCACAGACATAGGGAGATGAAAATAGGGTTAAAATAGCAGCTTCTGCAAACAGATCAATGGGACTGGAATCAAATTCCATTTCCAAAATATCATTATTGGCAGTTTTATTTATATTTCTTGTTAATCTTTCGGTTTCAATCAAAACTTTTTCCTTGTTTGATTAAGTTTCTGAATCCATGTTGAACTAGACTGTAAATCAATCAGTTTCGATTCAAATTCTTCAATTTCTATCGAATCGAATAGGAACAAGTTCAGTTTATCAAATGAAGTCACATTAAGGTACAAAATAAACTAGAACGTTTCCTAGAATTCACGAAACTGAGAAAATCTTGCTGAAAATTCCTTGATTGAAGAATTGATTACGAAAATATAACACGCAAAATAGAAAATATAACACAAATAAATTTTAAAATATAGTTGTATCAACGAAATTGTGACTATATGCTATGCGTAAGCAGACTTTGCATTATTAACCACGGCGTAACCAAAGCAAGGCCATAACCAATGAGTGCGCTCCCCGCCGCCCGGAGACCTATCACTCACGTTCGTTCGTAATACTTCATAGTGAACTTTGTTATTTTGAACTAAAATGCAATCCATTTTGATCGGTGGCGTGCCCAAAATATTGTGTTGCGTGCCATTGGTTCGCCATCCCTGGTATATAAGAAATTCCATAA